ACCAAACATACCCTCATTAAATCCAAGTGCTTTGGACACCGGAATGGTTGATACTTCCATCTTGTGTTTTTGGGCTAGTTGGTTGTTGGTAGAGTAGCTAAGAATTGGAAAAGTACAAGGCCGTGGCCAATTCCAAGTCCTGCACCTGCAAGATAGCGTGTCCTTGGGCCTAGCTGTAGTATGATAACAAAGAGTTGAAGAGACATGAGAAAAGAGAGATGTAACATCCAAAGAATGGAGAAGAACTGATGTAGTGGTGTGGCCAATGGTCGGAGTAAATTACAGAATATTCATGAGCTTACTAGTTGCTGTATTAATGTCTGATGCTCTCTTCAATAAAGGAAGCTTGCTGATTCTCATATTGAGCATCCCAAGTTTTCCCTGCAACCGACAAAAGACTCATCCCCGACAAATGGCTCAATCTGCAACAGTTGGTTTCCTAGAAGAGGAAGCCCTGTTTGCTTTCTCCTTTTCCAGCAAACAAAGATGATTCTGTAGATTCTTTGCTTCCCTTTTGACTCCTTGAATGAGATTGTGATCCAGTTTGAATTTTCCTCCTCTGCAGCAGCAATAGCAATGGATTGCTATCTCTTTCCTACTCTTCCAATTCTGAGCTTTCAAGAACTAAAATTGTGTTTTAGAGATACAACGTTGCTTGCTGATAGCAGCTAGGGAGAAATAGCAACTTCATATCCATCAAGAATTCTTTTCAATTGACCCATATTAATTTGGTCAGTGGAACTTAGAATCTCTGTGTAGCTACCAAATGGTCTGATTTCTCCTAAGAAGATGTGGTGGTAGATCTGATAAGAAATGAGGTTCTGAGTGATAGGTGACAGCCTGTCCTTTATGCTTCTCTCTTGCCACAGCTGACAGAACCAACACCCATCTCTCCCCTGGCTCCCGCGGCTCCTGGAGAAGAAGCCCAAGTGGCGCAAATTGAGGTGGAAGAGCACCAGAATCCATCAGTTCTCACACCAGAGCCTGGATATCGTGAGGCCGTAAGTGCCAGTTGTCTGTGGTGCTGTCATTAGAGCAAGGCAGAGGTGCAAGTTTTGGAGCAGCCAGCGCTTCCTGTTGCTGGCTGAGGATGCTGAGTGCTGGAGTGCTGCCAGGAGCTAGGGATTTCCTGCAGGCAGCGACAGCAGAACTTGGCCTTTGACCTGTGATGTTGAGGCCCAAAGGGCTGGTGCCTGTTGGAGAGCATCTGGCTCCTTGGCTCAGGGAAACTCTGTCTCTGGGCTTCTGCAGCGCTGTGGCTGAGGGCATACATCGTAGTACTGGAGGTCACGGGGCTTTGTTTTCCCCTGTTGGAAAGGTGTGTTCTGCTAGTGAGACTGATCTGCAGTTTTCTTCTGTAATTCTTCAGTTCTATCATGTCTTATTGCCTAGCTGCCTTTTTGCTTTGATAAGCTGCAAGGAGATGGTTATCTTGTCCACGAAGCTGGGCAGGCCTCATTCTTCTCCCATGTGGCCAAAGAAACAAAGTGCATATTATGAAGCCTTCTTGTGAGGCAAAAAGCAGAAGGGGCAAGTTTCTTTAGATGCATTTTGTGATGTAGTCTGCTACATTGGAAAGTGCATGTGAGCCTGGAGTGGGGCTGAAGGTACAAGCCCTTGACTGCTGTCTTGTGCTGCTCCGAAGGGGAAGGCCATCTTGAAATGGTGAAGGCTGTATCTGAAGTCAAATAGGCAACTTTGTAGTTGGGGAGCTGCGTGGGCGAAAAGGACACAAGGATTCTGCCGGTCTTGAGTATCTGAAGATGAGGCAGCATGTGGCCAGATGGGCAAGAAGGCCAAGGGCATAGTGGGCTGTGTCAGCAGCAGTGGGGCAGCAGGAGCAGGGCAGTGAGGGTGGCCCTGTGCTTGGCAGCACTGCGGCCACAGCTGGAGTGCTGTGTGCACTTGTGCGCCCTAGGAAGCAGAAAGTCATGGAGGGGTTGCAGTGTGTGCAGAGGAGGACACGGGACCTGGGCAAGGGAGTGCAGCACAAGGCCAGTGAGGATGTGCTGAGGGACCTTTAATATGGACAGTGGGAGGCACACAAGGGACCTTCAGGCAGACTTCCATCAATCCTTACATGACAGTGCTCCCCACAAGGGCTGTTTCCCTCAAAAACATGCCCTCACTGAATCCAAGTGCTTTGGACACTTCAGTGGGAGACACTTCCATCTTGTGGCTTGCTGGCTAGTTGGTTTTCTAGGAGAGCAAGCTTTCATCATTTTCGCATTTTCCAGCAAGCAAAGATGCTTCTGCACAATGTTTCATTCCCTGTTGCAGCACGTTACTGAGACTGCGATCCAGTGAGAATTCTCCACGTCTGTAGCAGCAGTAGCAATGGATTGCTATCTCTTTCCTCACCTTCCATTTCAAGAACTAAAAGATGTGTTTTACAGAGAAAACGTTGCTTGCTGATAGCAGCTAGGGAGAAATATCAACTTCATATCCCTCTGGAATTCTGTATAATTGGCCCATATTAATTTGGTCAGTGGAACTTAGAATCCCTGTGTGGCAACCAAATGGTCTGATTTCTCCTAAGAAGATGTGGTGGTAGATCTGTAAAGAATTGAGGCTCTGAGTGATAGGTGACAGCTCGTCCTTTATGCTTCTCTCTTGCCACAGCTGAAAGAACCAACACCCATCTCTCCCCTGGCTCCCGCTACTCCTGGCGAAGAAGCCCAAGAAGAGCTAATTGAGGTGGCAAAGCGCCAGACTCCATCAGTGCTCACACCAGAGCCTGGAAAGTGCATGTGAGCCTGGAGTGGGGCTGAAGCTGCAAGTCCTTGACTGCTGTCTTGTGCTGCTCCGAAGGGGAAGGCTATCTTGACATGGTGAAGGCTGTATCTGAAGTCTGATAGACAACTTCGTAGTTGTGGAGCTGTGTAGGTGAAAACAACCCAGGGGTTCTGCCGGTCTTGAGCAGCTGAAGATGAGGCAGCGTGTGGCCAGATGGGCAAGAAGGCCAAGGGCATGGTTGGCTGTGTCAGCAGCAGTGGGTCAGCAGGAGCAGGGCAGTGAGGGTGGCCCTGTGCTGGGCAGCGCTGTGGCCACAACTGGAGTGCTGTGTGCAGTTGTGGGCCCCTGGGAAACAGAAAGTCACTGATGGGCTGCAGTTTGTGCAGAGAAGGACAGGGGAGCTGGGCAAGGGAGTGCAGCAGAAGGCCAGTGAGGAGGTCCTGAGGGACCGTTTGTCTGGATAATGAGAGGCTCATGAGTGGCCTTCAGCATGTCCTCAGTATATCCAAATATTTTAGCCATGTTTGTAGTGACTTTCCCCCTTTGTTTTAATCGTTATATTTTGTTTTGGTTTCAAGTGTAGGCCTATTAATTTTCTTTTTCTTCCAAGCATGGTGCTTTTCAAAATTATTTCCTGACTTTGTAAATTTCTGGGCCTGGCTATGCTGAAATTTTATATTCCACAGTAGCACTTCTGGAGAATGCAGTATTTTTGCATGAGAACACATCATTTGGTGCAGGGACCTTGGTGCAAAAGGAGCTGTTGTGGTTCTAGTCCAGCCAGTAGGGCCTTTCTGATCACTTTGAGCTTAGCTGCGCCCATGCGTATTTGCTGCCCAGGTAATCAGTGTGTGTTGTGTTTTGGAATTAAGCAGAAGATCAATGTCCTTGCATTCCACGTGCTCCTCAGAGATCACAGGATCTGGGAGGGGCTCGGCTGCATTTCTGATTCCAACCACTTTAGCACTGTCAGTGTGGTTGAGTCCAAGAAAAGAACTTGCTTGAGCACAGATGCACAAAGAGTGCAGTTCCCAGTGCAATGCTCTGGCTCTGATCCCTTTCCATAAGGACCTACATGCTCCAGATTCCCCAAGAGTGTGCTTTATTGAAGCTACAGGAGAGCAATCTCAGGATTGTTGCTGAGCAGGGCACTGGCTATCAAGTTTTGATGTGTGTAGCAATAAAGAGGACATTAAAGAGAGATTTCAGTAATGAGATCTCTCTGTCTATCTATCTATCCATCTATCTATCTATCTATCTTTCTATCTATCTATCTATCTATCTATCTATCCAACATTTACATAATTGAATCTTCCTGGCTCTCATCCAAGGCATTTGGAGATGCAAAGGTCACCTAAAGCATCCCTCTCAGGAGGGGATTAGAGACATGTTCCCTTGACCAGTTCTGAGCAGGCAGAGATGTTTTCCCTTCCAGATATGATCGTTTTCCCCTCAGAGTTGTTTTTGTCCTCTGGCCTCTTCTGCCCTGAAGTCCCCAGTTAATTCTTTAAATTTCTGCCTGTCCTAGAGAGGTGGAACAATTCCAGGTTTAGGTGGTGTTCGGTGACTCTGGTCATACATGCCATGCATTACATGACGCATGGTTTCCTTCACTGGCATCCCCAGGCCTGTATAAGTGCATTCATTAATGGGGCCTTAGGAGAGTCTCTGTAACTGCTGGTCAGAATTCTCAGTTGACAAAAGAGGGAGAAGAAACACCGTGGTCCTCCTCCATATACTGAGGTGGCCATAGGGGCTCAGTGACACCCATCAGAGAACTTTGCATGCATCCTCATCTTCTAAATGACCAGGTTTTCTAACAAGAGTGTGGATGTCAGAAAGGCAGGAATGCTGGTGCAGGCCTGAAGAGAATGTGAACTCCAGAAGCGTCTCACAAGGGCTGTGCTCACCCAGGAAGCCACCTGCAGAGCCAGGATGGAGCTGTGGGACAGGGCAGGGTGTCAGTCACTACTGAAAGACAAACAGGACATGGCAGAAGCAGAGGGAGGCCCTCACCAGACCCTTGAGAAATGCCACACCTTCCCTGTCAGCTGCCTGAGAGGCTCTTGCAGCTTCAGTCCCAGATGGCGCCTGATTCTCAGGCCAGGATCACTTTGGAATCTGTGCCTCCCCTCAAACAGAGAATGACCCAGCAGAGCAGCAGCACAGTGCTTTGGGACTGTGTGAGCACAGCAGTCTTTGAGTCTTGGCCCACAAAGTTTGTATGGGAAGTCGAAACCCATCTTCTCCTGCTTTCTGTGCAGGTGCTTCTAGAGAGAGAGCAGGAGCAGATTGCTTCAACAGAGATGCCATGCCAGACTCAGGGTGAGCTGTTCCCAGCCCGAGAGCAGGAAGAGCAGCTCAGGCAGCAGGTGGAAGAGCCACAGGAGAATGGCCAGGTAAGCCTGACTGGCCAGGGCACAGCGGGAAGGGCAGAAGAGGGGCATAAACCAGAGCTCTTGGGACTGAGGAGGCCAGGAATCCCACAGGCACTGGAAGCACAGAGCCTTGGAATCTGCAGAGACCAGCCCTGGGACAGGAGGTTTGCAATGGAAGCAGAGGTGGGTAGGGAGGCAGAAGAAGTGGCTGAATACATGTGATTTTGAGGCTGCAAGAGGAAAAATACTGAGGCTGAGCAAGAGTCACTTGTCCTGCATTTGTGTGTACAGAAGATCAAGGAAGAGCCACAAGCAGAGCTGCCCGAAGCTCAGAGTGCCATCATGGACGTGAAGAACATGAACAAGGAAGACATGGGAAGAAATCAAGAGGAGAATCTTGATCAGCAGAGGGGCGATCAACAAAACCAGGTGAGTGAAGGAGTGGCAGCCACTCCACTCATGAAACATCCTCTCGCTTGTTTTTTAGAGAACATGAAGGAACAGCTAAACGCAGAGCTTCAGATAGCTGACATTAGGATCAAGACAAGGCAGAAGAGGCTGGAGGAAGAAATGAAAATCATCAGGGAGAAACTTAATTGCTTCCCTCATTCTCTACAAAAGCAAGTGAGTGAAAGAGGGATGCAGTCACTGCAGTCCCCAAACTGGTGGTTTCTGCCCTTCTTGCCTTTCCAGTGCAGAGCAGCAGGGAGTGGGGCCATGCCTCTGAGTGCTATCCTGCTGTAGTGTGTATCACAGTCACTCTGAAGGACATTTCCTGGTGTGCTCAATCTCCTGGGCTGCCCTGGATAGTGGAATTTTTCCTTTGGCCTTTTGGCCAGCAGTCATCCAAATTGATTCCTGCTCTCCTGTTCTCAGACCCAGATGGGGGATTGAAACAAGCTGTTGTATCCCCTGTCAATCTGTTCTTTCCCTTTCCTCACAGTCAATGACTCCTGGTGGACAGGGACAAGCACAGTAGTGTCTGACTGCTTTGTTCTGTTTCATTTGAGGAGCAAGAGTTGACATCTGACCGGGCAGCCTGTGAAGACTTCCAGCAAATGTCTGGCAATGAAGGACCCCAAGTTAAGAGTGAGGCACAGGAACAGTGCCCACCAGAAGTGCTCCAGGTCCAGCACATCAAGGGCTCTGAACCTGCTGCCGCAGCAGCACTGCCTGGAAGAAGCCATTCTGTAAAACCTGGGACCTCAAGCTTGGGCAGTTCCTTCATCTCTCCGAAACAGGAGGCTGAGAAGAGGTACCTGGAGATGCTGGGTACGTCTGGGTTTCTTGTCTGAGGGACAGTGCATTGTGTGCAGGTGCCAGCAGAGCTGTACCAAATGCTCCTCCTGAGTTTGGTGCCACAGGGCCATTTAGGACTCCCCAGAGGAAGCGCTGTGCTCCGAGGCAGCGAGAGAGTGCTCTGGGTGTTCCTACTGCCTCTGAGGGCACCTTGGACTGGCTTGGGTTTGCCTGAGCATCCCTCTCTGCTAAAGGCTGAAGCAGGGATTTTTCTTGGATCAGCAGAAGGCTGTGACCTAGCAAATGATCTAGGCAAGTCCTGTGTGCTAGTGGCCAAACTGAATAGAATTTTCAGCTTCCTAAATTCTCCTTAGACTCCTGACTTCCAACCAGTCATCAGAGAAAAAAACCTTCACAGAAATGGACTGGTTTTGGAGTTCCGTCTTTTTGATTGGGGATTTTTTTTTTTTTTTTGAGGGGGGATGTTTTTTGTACTGTTTATTTTTTGGGGGGATTTTTTGGTTTTGGTTTTTGTGTGGTTTTTTGTTGTGTTTTGGGGGTTTTTTTTTTTGATGGTTTGTGGGGTTTTTTTGGTGGAGTTCGTTTATCTCCATCCTGAAAGAGCTCTTCTGTGTCACGTCTAACTGCTGGCATTTTTATGACTGTTACTTTTACGAATACTACACCAACAGTTTATTTTCATGAGAATGCTATATTTTTTGTCAATAAGAGAATGCTATATTTTTGTCAATACGACCTACTTTGAAAGAACATCAGGTTACAGGAGAAATAGAAAGCAAGAGGTGTTTTCCATGTGCCCCCCCCCAAAGAAACCAGATACTTTTGTAAAAAACTTTATTTAATCTTCTAGTTTTATGCTTATCAAGATGTGTCCAAGAGACACATCCAAGTGGCGTGATCAGATAAAACTGTACTGCAGGCATTTCTCAGGAGAGAGCCTCCAGCCCAGCCATGGTATATTCCTCAGATCCATGGCACTTTTCCATACTCGATTCCCACTCTTTCCCCTGACTGTTAGGATCCTACCCGTTGGCCCAAGCCCTGCTCAGGTCAGTTTCTAGGAAAACACATCAAGTCCTTTGTGATTCTGCAGCACAATCCAATGAATCTGCCTATTGCCCATACCAGCTGCCAGTGCTGTGCTCTCAGATAAGACCTGGTGGGGCTGAGAGCAGAGCCCAGTAGATTCTGTGTCTACCATCACCTGTTGGGACAAAAAGGGCACTGATCCACACCTCGGTGGGGCTGATGTCAAAGCCCATCCTGTTGTGTCCTGAATGGGGACAACAGCTTGTACGGGGCTCAGACTGGCTGTGGCTTCTTCCCACTGCCTGTCAGTGCTCATGCTTGGGCTTTACCAGCCTTGTTGTGCTAGCTGCCCTGTCCCTGAGGGTTGCTTTGACTGCAGAGGCTGGAGCCATCCATCGCTGGGAGAGGGGCATCTTTGAGCTAAGCCTGCTCATGAACAGGTCAGGGTCCTGATGCTGAAACCCCATTGGGATTGGTTCTAGCATGAGCTGCTCTGCTTTACAAACGGAAAGGCATTCTTTTGGCAAACAGCTGAAAGGTAGAGAAGATGTCCTTCTCTCCTGGAAATGCATGTCCCTGTGCTTTTGTTTCCTGTTAAGAGAACTTCTCAAAGGACTGTACAAAATCAATCTCTGTGCCAGCCACCTGCGCTGCAGGGCTGCCCGTCCTGTTGCTGTTGTGGTGGTTGTTACCCACCTGAGCACAAAGGGCTGAGAGCCCCAGAGAGTGGGGCTGCCTTTTGTGTCTCCTGGAAGCTGGCATCTCTGCTTTAAAGTCAGCATCGTGCATTTTGTTTCCCTCAGGGAGAATGGTGAACCAGGAAAATCCTGTTGTGAAATACACTGAAAAGGAACGTATTGGCAGTGGGTGAGTCCAACTGCAGATACTCCTGCACAGCCGTGGGCCAGGTGTTTTTCTAGTGAAATGTCTATGCAGCGTGAAGTCACGCAAGCTGAAAACATGTTCAGACACTGGGGATAGATGATCCCATCTCTCAGTGCTGCTCAGAATTTGTGAGTGTGCTCAGAAGGCACTGTCAGAGACATCTCTCTGCTGACAAAGTCTTGCCTGCATCAAAGAACAGGATCTGGGAGATCTCCTTGTCTCTCAAGTGTGGGAACCTTCTGTGTTAATTTCTTTAGCATTTTTCTGTGTCTCAAAATCATACTGGCATACTAATGGAAAAAGAAGAAACTTGCTTGCCTCAAAGAGCAACCTATCCCCTATCAAAGCTGTGTGAGATAAGAGTTGCCAGGAGCATTTCTTTCCCCTCATTGGCAGAAGGAAATACTCTGTGGTCAGGATAGGAACCACACAGTTTAGAAAGTGAAACCCAAGAGGAAAGAATAAACTCCCTTTAGAAGTTGAATTCCAGTGCATCAGGAACAGGCCCAGTGCCTGCACTTGAGAAGAAAATGCATCTTCTGCCTTCTGGCAGAGCCCTCCTGCATCCTGCAGGTTTTTGACACTGCCAGCACAGATCTCCTGTGTGGGCTGGCTTTCACTCTAGGACCTAAACAGTTTCTGTTTTCTCTCCTTCTGTTTTGTTTCTAGGGGTTTTGGACAAGTGGTTAGAGCACTCAACAATGCCACAGGAGGAGAGGTAAATATCAACAGACCCTGCAGACTCTGCTGCTCTTGAGGGGCTTTCCCTTCTGGTGTGAGCTTTGGCTGGAGCTTTGGGTAGAGCTGTGCTTGAAAAGGCACAAGAAGCACAGACTGGTGCCAGCCTGCAAAATACATCTGGCACAATCTTTGTCCTCCTCAGCTGCCGGAAGGAAGGCACGCAGGGCAACGCTTCCTTTCAGAGAAAGACACGCTCACTCGCTCTCCATTGCTAAAACAAAGGTGGTGCCTTAGAGCACCTCACTGCTCTTTGGGGCTACAGCTTCATAGTCCTGAATTCTCATTTCTGGCTGCCAGCAAATCCATCTGAAAGTTACTGGTAGTTCCTTAGCCACCTGCAGTGCTGCACTTGGCAACTGCACATTGGGAGAGATCTGCAAGGTATCCCTAAAAGCCCTAAGACCCACCCATAGCCTTTGCAAGATGTATCCACAGAGTATTAAGGCATGGATTACTTCTTCTGAATCCCAAACAAAGCAGCAGAGATTGTGGTCAGAGGTTTGTGGGTCATAGCTGAGACACCACTGTTACCAAGTGGACAAGGCAAAATGTCAGTGGCCCCAGGTGTCCTGTAACTGGCCCCCAAGGGAGCAGAGAAATGGGCTGTTGGGATGTCAGTTCCTAATTACTGCCGTGCCTAATCACAAGGCTGTTTGGCACAGCTCAGCTGTGTCATTGCAAAATCACTCGCTCCATTGCATCGTGGTCTCATGCCACCAACTGCTCAAGTTACTGATTTCCAATGTCATTTTAGGTGGCCATAAAGAAAATAAATCTAAAAGGACTGAGGAGCAAGCAACTAACTGTTAATGAAATCATGATTATGAAGAGATATAGGAGTCCCAGTGTTGTGAATTATTTAGACAGGTGAGAGGTCTTGGTCTTATCCCATCAATGGGCATTTACATACAGCAAACATGAGAGGTTAAAAACCCACTTTGGTCAGTGGCAGAAAGTAGAGCTGTTAATTTTGATTCATTCGTATTTCTCTATTCATCTCCAGTGGATGAGAAGAGAGTGCATCTTGTCTGCCTGAGTCTTCCCTGGCACTCCTAGTTTGAAAATTATTCCAAAATTATTCAAAACCTGGATCAGCTGTATCTTACTAAGTCAATAGCCTCGAAGTACACGGCCTCCACACTTTTTTGGGATAGATTTTTTAAAATTTCTTAAATGCTGATGAACCATCCTGAAGTGGATTTCCCTTAGATCATTACCACTCTTTGCCATTGCTGTGCATGCCAGGAAGACTAGGTGCTTATTTCCAGAAACACTATGCCTGACATATTTTTATCTGGGCTGTTACTAAACTGCACTTTTCACTTGCTGTCCATCTAAGACATCTCCTTTTTCACAGCTGTGTCTTTCTCCTCCAGACTGCACAGATTGCAAACAATGCACAGCTGAGAGGGAATGTCTATTCCTTTGATTCTGTCCTAGTCACAAAGGAACCTGGAAACAAAAAACCCAGAAGTAAAAAATCAACATAGCCATGCATATTTATCTCCACACCCTTGTTTCCTTCTTTCAGCTACCTTCTGGGTGAGGAACTCTGGCTAGTTATGGAGTTCATGGATGGAGGCACTCTGAGCGACGTCATTAGCAAGACTTGCCTGTCTGAAGACCACATGGCAGCCATCTGTCGGGAGGTCAGCAATCCCATCTGTGTTTCCAAGGGCTTGGGCAGAGTTGTCTGGGAAACAAGGGCTCAGATCAGGAGAGGTTTCATCTGCCAAGTTTTGTTTCTGTGTTGCTGGTATGCTATGGGCAAGTAAAAGCATCTCAAGTGAAAGGCCTGCCAGTGCCCCTGCACTCACTGTACTCAGTGCCAGTACTCTTATCTCCTACTGTTGTACTCTCACTCTGCCTCATGTATTTGCTGTTGTCCATCTTACCTCGCTAAACTTTTGCTTGTCTTCACTGTATTTCTTGCCTGTGAAAGCAAAGGTGCTGGTGGCAGGGTTTGAAACAAACAGCAAATGAAAAAAGAGAGAGACTCATTTCTTTCAGTCCTCAGCTAAAAAGGACAGGAGTGCAGCCCAAATGCTCTTTCCTTCTGAGCACAGGCACTGCAGCAGCAGTCATCCTGGCTGGTTTGCAGGGGACAGTCTACAACAGCAGGTGCTGTTGCTCTTTCAGAAGCTGATGTGCCTTTCCTCAGAAAGGTCCTGCTCTGCAAGTGTTGGAGCAGCAAGCTCTTCCTCTCAGTGGCACTGTGTTCTGCCATTACTCCCCATTCCCCTGCAGAAAGGGAATCTTTTGGATTCTTTGTTTCCTTTCTTGTGTGATGAAATCCCATCACTTATTTTTTCCTTCCTCTTTCTGTTTTCTCTTTCAGTGCCTGCAAGGACTGTATTTTCTTCATTCAAACCACGTCATCCACCGAGATGTGAAGAGCGGCAACATCCTTCTCAGAAGCAACGGTTCTGTCAAGCTGGGTTAGTGTATTCTTGGTCAGGTGCAGCATTCCAGGGATGTGGGGTGTAGGGCTGCTTTGAGTGACTGCCAGCTCCCCAGAAATGGTGCTGGTGGCAGCGCAGGGGCACCATGTCAACCATGAGCTGGTGACACAGTTGCAACGTGCACAGAGGTATGAGAAGGAACAAGCAGTCAGGAGTGGCCTTGCTCTGTGTGTGTCCCTGCCAGAGGTAGGGAGCTACAAGTGTAAAGCTTTCAAAGAACAAAAGCCACTGCTGGAGGCAGTGTAAAAATGGGGGGATTTTTTAAGTCACCAATGCCAGGAGATTCAACAGCACATTTTCAAACTTCTACTGGGGAATTCTTTTGCTTTCTTTCCTCATTGCATAGAATTCAAATAAAACCCGTATTTTGCTTTCTCCTCAGCTGATTTTGGCCTCTCTACTCAGCTCACACCTGAGCAGAGCAGACGGTGCTCGGTAGCCGGGACTCCTTGGTGGCTGGCGCCTGAAATGGTGACGCATCAACCATATGGCCCCAAAGTGGACATATGGTCTTTTGGAATCGTGGGCATTGAAATGGTAGAACAAGGACCTCCTTACTGGAACCAAAGTCCTGCCTCAGTAAGGAGCAAATACTCGCTGATCCCACTGTCTTTCTCACCTGCCCTATGTCCTGCGTGCCATTGGACAAAATCCCATTGCCATCTGCTGGAACTACTTCCACCAAGGTCCCCTCCTAAAAATGTCCCTGCAACACATCAGTATCTGCTGTAGTTTTGGTTGCATCAGTGGGGGAGCTCAAGCCTTACCACATGAAACAAACTCCAAAGAAACTCTATTCTCAGGCAACCCTTTCCTTTGGTTCCAGTTCTTTTGTCTGTGAAGATGGCCCCAGTAACAGGAAACAAGCACCTTAGAACTGCTGTTATCTTTCCAGACATGAAGGAAGGAAACCCAAACCCAACAAAGTTTCTAAAGCACTGGTTTTTAGGGAGGGACTTTGCCCACTGTGCAGTATGTTCTCACTGGGAAACATGCCTGAAACCTGGGCATGAGGGTGTAAAGGCAACACAGTCTCTTCTGCTTCTTGTGCAGTGTTGCTGAAACCCTCAGTAACCACGTTTCTCCCGTAGCCCAAGGCATGTTCTCCACATCACCAAGCCAGAGCGAGAGCCTGCCAAAACCTCCCAGTGTTTCCTTGCACTTTCTGGGATGGGCCTACCAAAAATGCATTCACTTGAGTAGCCAAATGAGCAGAGGGTGACCATAGGGATGGCACCTCTCCTTCTTCGGACCATAACAATTTTTCTTTTGCTGAAAAATGGGAAGCTGAAATTTTTTAGACTGCTGAGAGACAGAACTGCAGGTGACTCCTGTGTGCCCAAGCAGGTATTTTAATCCCAATACATTTGTGCATGCATCTTAATGTGTCTGTGTTAGAAGATGAGATTGTAAATGTTCGTTTCCTTACCTGGGGATTAACTGATGGATTTTCTTTCTTTTCTTCCAATTACCATTGTTTTCAAGAGCAGCCCAAAAAGCTTGATGAATTTTGTTCTACAGCAGCTGTACTTAAGAGACCAACAGGCACTGCAGATATGCCTTTCATGTATTAATCCTTGAAATTAGTTAGGATGTTACAGGGCTTGCAAGGGTTTTTCAGGGGGAAGAGAGAGTCGAGAATTTTGACTCTCTGATCAGAACGTTGGATTTATTATTTTATGTTATATATTACATTGTGACTATGTTAATAGGAATAGAGAGAAAAGTCTCAGAAGCTGCTATGTTAAGAATAGAAAAGGAATTAATCAACAAAGGAGCTCTCTCTGATTGTGTCTCAGAGAGAGCTCGGTCTTTGATTGGCCCTTAATTGTAAACATGCAACATGAGCCAATCACAGGTGCACCTGTTGCATTTCACAGCAGCAGATAACTATTGTTTACATTCTTTCTCTGGGGCTTCAGCTTCTCAGAAGAGGGGAAAATCTTAAAGAAAAGATTTTTCACAAAAGATGTCTGTGACATTAGTATAGCAAAGTCCCTCTTCCAAAAAGCCTCTCAAGCTGGTATGAATACTTGGAGTAGCAAACATGCTTTTGTTGATGTAGTTCCTTCTAACTAACTAGGTCAGTCAATGAAATCAGCTGCCAAGGCAAGATCTGCAGGATGGTGGAAAAGCTGTGGTTGCATCAGGGTTTGGGTTTTTGGTTGGTAAAGGAAAATGATCTCTGGGTCTCTGCCAGGGCAGTAACTGCCACTGAAGAACAGAGGTTAAACAAAGGGATCTGGGAGAGAACTTAGAGATGTGAAAGCAGCAGGTGGAGCCTCGTGTCTCCTTTTTTTCCCAGGTTAAACTCCTGATCGCCGTAATAGGGACCCCAAGGCTGCGGCACCCCAACCGATTCTCGCCTTGCCTGCGTGACTTCCTGAGCCGCTGCCTGCAGACAGACGAGCAGCAGCGCTGGTCTGCCAAGGAGCTCCTGAAGGTAAAATGTGAAGGGGCTGCAGGTGAAACAGGCTCGGAGGGATGGGCTCCTCCTCCACTCAAGTCCAAGGCATCACATGAGCCCCCTTCCTCCTCACCTCCACTCTTGCTGCTCTTCAAATGAAAATGGTGAGGAATCCTAGACTGGACTGGGCTGGCAGGGCCCTGTAAAAGTCCTCTGGTCCAAGTGTCCTGCAATGAGCAGGGACATCTTTAAAGAGATCAGGTTGCTCAGAGCCCTTTGCCACCTGACCTGGAATGGTTCCAGGGATGGGGCACCAACAAGCTCTTGGGACAACCTGTGCCAGGGTGGCACCATGCTCTGAGTGAGCAAATTCTTGTTTAGACCTACTCTGATTAGATGTCCTTTGTTTTTTAAAAAATTCGCCCACATCCTATTCTAAGTGGCCCTGTAAAAAAGCTATCCACCACTTTCTTCAAAACCACTCTGAAGTCTTGGAAAGTGACAACAAATTCTCCCTGGGGCCGGTTCTTCACCAATCTGAATAACTCCACCTCTCTCTGCACTTCCTGAGAGGAGAGGTGCTCTGTTTCCTGACTGTTTCTGTCGGCCTGTTTTGTAATTTGCTGGGGTGTTCATTTTTATCTAATGGCAAAAGAATTGAAGTAGAGCAATGCAGGGTACAGAGACATGAAATGGTGGTGCAGGAACCCAAGGAAGCCAGTCCCAGCTGAGCAGTCAGAGATTTCACTGTGGGCAGGAGGGGCTGTGGGGGGCTCATTGTGAGCCTCTGAGGGGCCCTGGTTTGTGCCCCCTAGCCCACCCTTAGAGGTTTCTGACACGCAAACAGGGACAGCTGGGAGGGACTTGTCCCAGCCCCATCTGCTGCCTGGCACGCTCAAGCAGATGGGAACTGTGCCAAGGTTACTGCCAGGTTGTGTGGCAGAGAGGGAACTGCAGGGCCCAGTGCCACTGGACTGGCCCTGCTGGGAAGGAAGGTGCCATCCAGCACGCGAGGGGCAGGGCATGGAAAGGCAGACACTGCTCTGTCTCCCTGTGAGAATCAGCACAGTGCCTGTCTTGCAAAGGCAGGGGCCTATGTGAGTCCTTTGAGTTTCCTGAAAGGAAGAAACCCCAGGGACAGAAAGCACCATTTCTACAGCACTGGCAGGGCAAAAATCCCAGGGAGATGAAGACATCACAATAAACAGATGAGTGGGATTCTGGGCCAGGTTCGCCTGTGATGGCAAGGTCCTGCCCATGGCACTGGGGAGCAGATGGTCCCATTGTTCTACTTTCTGGGTCTTTTTAGGACCCAGAGGAATCCTGATTGAGGCTGTGAAGCACTGAGCTTGGAAAGTATTGGTTCATTGTTGTTTGTTGTTTTGTTTTTGTTTTTTTTCCTGTGGACAGCATCCATTTGTTACAACAGCCAAACCAGCATCCATTTTGGCACCACTCATCAACTCAATCAAGAAGAAGTAGGAGACTAGAACGTAACAATTGTGTCAAGACAGTATCTCCATAGCCAATTTTGAGTAGGATTGGAGAGTCAGATTCTAGAGTAGGATTCTTGAAGAGTTTTGTAGAATAGGATTATAGATTAGGATTAATTAAATAAAGTTTCTGAGATATCAACTCATTTGGAAGATTCTCCTCCTTCTGACCCCTTCAGAAAACTCAACATTTCCTTCTGAATTACCAGTTGTTTTTTCTTGTTCCTCAGTCACACTTACGGCTTCTTTGGTGTGCTTTGAAAAGGGGGGTAGGACCTTCTTCATTCGTCCTACCTAGAGCACATTGCCTTTGGAATACGACCCACTGGCTGGTTTTTGCCTAGCTGTGGTATTTCTAGTTGAGGCAGAAAAAGCAATGGCATTTGCAGGAAAAACCAAAGGAAGAATGGGGCAGCCCAAACCCCTTGTGCAGATGAAGGCATTGACCTGTTACTCAAGAGCATTTGAGTTCCTGCCACTTGGATTTGTATCCCTAAGTGCAATGTCTTTGGCGGATGGAGAGCCTTGCTCAAGTGAGAAAGCAGAAAGATCAGAGGGGATGCTCGGGAAGGTCTCCTGTGGTGCAGAGATGTCAGCACCTGTGAGGTTGTGGAGGGATAGAATATAAGAGAATAGTGCAGAAGGCACTCTCACCCCTGAGGAGTTGGACCTGTACTAATCACCAAAGACTAGGAACAGGCCTGCCCCTAATAGGCCACAGCTATGTCCAATGAGAAGACGAGTGCTACAAAAGAGTGGTTTAGTTAGGTGAGGAGAGATATTGAGTTTGTTGGTTGTGCTGTGAAAAAGAAGGAATCAGTGATGTGAGGAGGTGACCATGAGAAATCACTGAGAAGGTATGAAACTTTTGAAATAAGATGACAACATGAGGTAAGAGCGGGCCCGGCCTTGGCCGGGGTGGAGCCCCAGCAGAGCCCCAGCAGAGGCCAGAGCAGGCTGAGCCCCGGCAGAGGCAGGCTTGAAGGAGGCCCTTGGAGCTGCAAGGGGCAGAAGCCGGGCCCTGGGTGCCTGTTCCTGGCAGCGGGCGAATCCTCCGCTCTCAGAGCCCAGGTGGCAGCTGGCTGCTGCCGAAGGGAAGCGCAGCTGTGCTGGGCACAGCCCAGCCTGGAGGCATTGGCCGTCTGGAGTGTGCCCAGGAGCAGAGAAATGCCAAGGGCAGCGAGGGCCGCTGGGCTGGCTGAGGATTCCTCCTCTTCTGCCGGCTGCCCTGCAACTCCTGGCAAAGGTCAGCAGTGTGTGCAGCACTCTGGGCACCGGGGCAGGGAGCTGGGCTGCTCAGCAGGCTGGAGCACAGGGCAGCCTCCTTCAGGCCCGGCTCTTGTGCCAGGGGAAGCGAGGCCAGCGTGAGGCAGGGACAGCTTGGCAGGGCACATCTGCAGGAGCCAGCGCCTCATGAAGCTCTGGGAGGAAGTGCCTGCAATTCTGCAGTTCTGCACTGAGCCAGAGCAAAGGTGTGAGATGCAGAGTGTTTGGCAGGAATATTCAGGTCCACCAGGCCAGCCTGCTTTGTGCTCTCTGGCACACAGCAAGCGCTGTGCAGTGCAGCTCTGAGCTGCTGGGAGAGAGGTGTTAGAAATAAACAAACTCTTGGATACAATTTAATGGAGACAAAGTTATTAAAGCAAAAGAGAACCTTCTTAGTAAGGATTCAGCTGAGCCAGTTGTGTATCTCTCTCTCCTAAGAGCCAAACATACACATGCCAAGATAATGCTGCTTTTTATTGCTTTTCCCAGCCCTGCGCGATCCCTGTCCCCTTTTCCTTTGTCTGGGTACTAGGGAGCTTCTGTTTTCTCCTGATAGCCTCCTTTACTGTCCCCACTCCACTTCTACTTCCCTTTTGGTTTAGTGTTCAGCCCCTCCCCTTATCCAGCTCACAGCAATGCCCACCAAATTAACTGGAACAACTGCAAAGCATAATTAACTCCACCTAGTGCCAACAGCTTTCTTTTTTTTTTTTTTTCTAATAACCTTTTGACTGCAGCAAAATATTACCTCCTATCTCCCAGATGGAGTCAGGGATGAGTCTGTGGCTTGTGCTTGGGTAGTGAACTGATTTGGAAGGGAGCAGAAGGGTTTCAGAAGGCAGTTTGTGTTTTCTTCATTCATTTCTGAAGGAAAAAGGCAAAGCAGCTTCAGTCAGCAAAAGCATTTGCGAGGTGCATTGATGAAATGCTTGTGAGCAATTCCCAGAGCAGGAAGGTGTTGAGAAAAAGTTGAATTGTAACAAATGCTGAATTCCTTTAGCTGTACCAGACATTGTTGAGCCCTCTGTTCCCCTAGTGCAGTGAATCATGCATGCAAATGGTTGTCTTAGCCTTGAGAACAAAGAGAGTGATCCTGCTAAGAAGGTTTCTGTCCTTTGGTTTGCGCTGCGGCAGGCTCTTGGTGGCCTGGCAGTCAAAGTGTGTTGCGGGCCGTGCTCAGATGGCGGTGGCTGCGTGGGCTCCTGTGGCCCTGGCAGCTCAGTTTCGGCCGTGGGGCCTCCCCTGGCACCGGTCCCAGGCCTGCTCCCGGCACAGGCAGCGGGGCCGTTCCTGCTCCTGCCCCCAGGGCCGCTCCCGGCTTTGGCCGCAGCTGCTGGCGCCGCTGGGATGAGCCCTGGCAGCAGGGCCCGGCGGCCCTGATGGGAAAGAGCCCCCGACCCCGCCGGGAAGGGGCTAAGCTGTCCCCGCAGCCCCCCTTGGAAAGCAGAAAGAAAGAAAGAGCTTCCGGCACCTTTTTTCCTGTCTTAAATATGTTGTCCCAGAGGCGTCATCAGCTTTTCTAATTGGTTCAGCAGTGGGCCCATTTTCAGAGCCAGTCAGTGATTGGTTTTGCCTGCGCGGAGAAAGCTTTTAGCAGCTCCTCAGAGAAATCCCACTTTGGTGGCTGCCCTCTTTCCTCCTCTCCAAAAATTAAGCCATGCAAAACCAACAAAAGTGGACAGTGGTGGCCCAAGGGCTGGGGAACTCGGAGACACAGAGAAAACTTGAAAAACTTGTGTGGAGCCATTCAAAAATCTCACATGGCTTCATATCCAGACACACAGCTAAAGCCCAGCTATTTCTCTCTTCTTTTTCTTTTTAACTGAGAAAGGAAGTCACAGGTAATGTGGTTTCTATTCCACATCTATTGGAGTAGATGTGGAATACAGATCCCAATATCCTATCTTTTTAAAATGCTGCAGTACTTAAGATTGTCAAATCAGCACTTCTGTGAGCATTCGTTTTGCAAAACTAATTCTGAGTAACAGCTGTAGACTAAAACAATAACATATCTCTGCATAAATTAAATCCTATTTTAAGGAAATGAGTAGCGTAGGAGTTAAGTACAAAAGAAACCAACAAGCATTGTTGAAATGAAAGATGTTACTGCTACTCCTGCTGTCTGAAATACCTTTGAAATAAATTTAACAAGACCCTTCATATGTATTTGCAGGTGTACAAGTCCAGTTTCAGAAAAATGAAATCGTGTCCAAGAAAATTCTATAAGGCGATGAAAAGCATATGCGCATTTTCCTTATAACCTTGGGAGTTTACTCCTTAAAAATGGCAAAGTTTCTAGATCAGTCTATTTGCAAAGGAACTGCTTATCCTAGTAAGTTTAGATACATTTCCCCTTTGATTACAAATAAAGCATTACACCTTCAAGGCATGTAGTCTTAAACTGTGGTGTCAGCTATGCACAGGTGACATTGCGCTCATTGCCTCAAACAAGGGGAGCGCAAACATAGAAATCCCCCCAGACACGTCAACATACAAGCTGTTATCCACCTGCACAAACACCTTCTCTCCTAAACCAAATTAGTGCCTCTATGTTTGCTATCAGGAACTCAGAATGCTCTTTTTAGGACTTTTAAAGCAAGCAGTGTCTTTGGATTTTTAAAATGTCACCAATATTAAGAAAGTCAGTGCTGCAGCGATGTTGCCCTGTGTCTGATGTAGGAAGCTAGCAGGAGGCTGTCACACAGGGATTGGCAATAGCATGTACGGAAGCCTATGCCTTGGGTTTTCCTCTGCATGGTATATTTTTTCCGTGAAAGACTTATGATTTGAAAGTGACTCAGAGTTGGTCAGCAGAAAGAAAAATCAAGATGCTAATTGACATGGGCTAATCAACAGTTCCAATTAATTTCAATATGTGTGGGATGATGATGCGAGTTCAATGAATAAGTTTTCTTTTGAGAAGGGTATGAGGACATGACCTCAAGGTTGCAGGAGAAACCATTTTTTGTTGGCTAGAAATTCCTGTTATTACCTTCCCGTGCATAATTTTTAACCTTTCTGTAATCTCAAATGACTTCAGTTCTGGGATTATTGCATCTGCATACCAGCTGCCATGGTCATATTTTGGTTCAAAAAATAAGAAAACACGCAAATCAATATTTCAGTGATAGCACTGGCAGACCTTTCAGGTTTAATCTTATTCCTGCTATATTTAGAAACCTGCTCTTGACTTCAGCAGGAGTTGGCATGAGTGCCTAACCATAAATAAATATGGAAGGCAGTTCTTAGTGAGTTTCAGCATGAAAATGATTTTATAGACACTGTAAACAGAAGTGACGGGTGGCAAATAGTCAGAAAACTCTGCAACTGAAACCTTCTAATGAAATACCTCTCTTTCTTCAGACCTTTATAATACCTTCAAATACCTTTTTAAAATCTGTGGAGTTCATGGGGAACCTCTAATGCCTTTATTTATAAGGGTAAATTTTAATTTAAAGCTGTGAACACAAAGGGAATATTTAACCACATGCTTCAGATGCTGCAATTGTTTTCTTTTGCTCTAGCATACTCCAGTGTATTTGAGAAAATAGTACTTATGCAAACCTGTGTGTCAATGTAGTTAATCACAGTGTTATTGTATGGATGGATGTACGTACAAAGCTTTGAGATGGAAAATATCTCAAAGTTCAGACTTTGTTAATTCTTACTAATAGATTGGGAGTGCTTTGGTTGATGTGATTTCGGGGGATTGCAGTATC